TATAATAATATCTTTGAGACACATATAAAATATAATCTTTCAAAGGTAAACGCATTCAGAATCAGACACATTCGCTCGCAAATCCCGTTTTATGTAAATTAGATTGAGGATAGGATTAAACACGATACTGAAAGAATCAATAATAAAGTAGTGCGAGTTTTTACTGACAAATTCATGGTGAATTTAACTATCCACACGTCGGAAACTTGCCATCGCACACCTATCCGTATACTTTCTATAAATCAGTCAACGCATGTTTGACATTTATGTGTGACGACTCACTCCATTGACTAAGAATCTTGTTTTTTTCTCACGTTTTATACTGATCTTCAAAGATAATTTAGACATGAGAAATATCTAACTCTCGTAAGGTAAATCTTACACAAAGTTGTACCAACAACAACGCTCGCACGCTATAAATATTGTCTCATTCACGGACTGGCCTCTCGGTTGTTGTATGTTAAGAGAGAACGATATGCGCTGGATATATTAGATATATGAATAGTTATTGCTACATACTGCATTGCGTTCTTTCTTCGAATCGCTTAATGAATTCGGTTGCAATACAGAGTTGATCGCGTCAACCGAGTAATATGCAATGCACGGCTGTGCAGAAATCGAGAAAAACATAATGCGCACGGTGTAAATACATCGATTCTCTATTAAACATGTATTTTAAAAAAGACGCAAGCTTAAATCAATTATGTCAATTAATTATGTAAGTTGATGATATATTATAAGATTCATCTATACTATTATACATAATATAATTTATACTCTTATATATAATTTTTATATAAATATAGAAATTTTAAGATTTCTGAATTTAAATCCAGAGTTCTGGTGCTTCCAGATTTAATTTGGATGATATTCATAGTCTATTCTTATTTGAAAACCGTCTTAAATAATATCTTAAGATGCTAACACGACTCTCTGATTAGTTCATGACATCTTCTGTACTTCGAACGGTCTTAAAATTGAGATCCGACTATAAATATCAGCTTTTGACTTTCGATAGTTTTACTCACCACTTATAAATTTTAGTGTCCGATTGTATTGTTAAATCTGCTGAATTGCTGAATTGATTTTACAGGTGCAGTTCTTCCTGGTGTTTGTGCATAGCGCACAGGCTCTCATCTTCGATTGCGGCTATCCCAAACTGATTGCGACCCTCCTTCTACTTCATGCGACAATCTTCTTCGTGCTCTTCTCCGACTTTTACAGGTCCGCTTACCGCAAAGGAAAGTCCGCAAAGGAACTCAAGGCTGAATAGAACACACGAGGGAACATACGAAAGGGAAAATCTTCGTTCCGACGAACGAAACACGCAATATACACGTACACACATATCGCGTTGAAATGTAGCTCCTTTCTACACCGGTGAACTTTTATGCTCGTTAATGTACCGACAGATGAGGAACTCATTGACCAGTCATATACTTGAAAATTGAGTTAACAAAATGAGAAATTTAAATATTTAAATATACACACGTTTAAATCTACGCGAGATATTGAAATTCCTAATCTACTCTGAAAATAATAGAAGTATAAATAGGTCGATAAAAAGAAAACTATGGCCGTCAAAAAAAATTATGCCGACAATAATTTATAATTCTTATACATAAATAATTACAAAGAATTGCAAATAGCGTAGGGGAAAATCTCAGTCAGAAAATTTGACAATGGGAAAGAAGGGTTGGTTAACGGGTTAATGCTATTATATTTCTTATCTGTTTGCCAAGGACATACAATGAAAAGTCTGCGATGACACAGGAAGGATCTGTCTATTATTAGAAATGCCTTTACGTCCAGTGGCGATCAAATGTGATTGTTTGATTGCTTTTGCAGAGATAAATTGTATTGGCTTCCGATATATGAACATCACGTTGAAACATTTTTCCGATAATCCGTCAAACGTTTCATTGGTGCGGAAAACGAAGATTTCTTCCTCACAGAAGAATATTTTTATTTGTTACCCTTTGTACCCTTTCCGGGCATGTATCTTCCACAGGATATCTCAGGTCTCGCGCGCACTTTGGACTAACTTCAATAGCTTTAAAATGTTGCCTCTATTATAATTTTAATCGGTCTCCATCGCCCAATTAACATTGTTCTTTAAGAGTTTAAGAAACGTCGCGAGGAATAAATAAAATAAAATAAATGGTAAATGTAACTTTCTCCTTTTTGAGAATGAAAAAATCTAGAACTTTGATGCTGCAATAAACACAACAGGGAACATAGAGACGAAACGAAGCAATAATAAAATGTACACAGCTTGAAAATTACATTGGTTACAATTGGCAAAATACTCTGCCATAAATCAGTCTTAAAAATTGTGCAATTGTGTTCGATATTTGTAATTTAGAATCAATGTAATGTATAAATATTAAAATAAAAATTTAAAGACTCACACGCGCGCAATATGTCTAATTCTTAAATAATTCTGGAACCAATTAATTAATGTAAAACAAATAAAAATATATCTAAGAAGCTCATCTTTGTATTATATTTAAAACAACCGAGATTGCTACAACTTTTCAATTCGAGAAATGGAGCAATCGGGAAAGGTGCAATGTACGCTGGCCAATGCTATAGAGACTCCCAGATACCGCAGTGCGACATAGATTACGACAGACTCTTACCAATAAATTTATATCGAAAAATAGTTAGAAATATGTGAAAAAATGCATGTGTCCACATCGATGATACATGATACAAATCCCGTCTTCTTCAAAAATCATACATGGAAAGAATAATTTGCTGAAGTATTTAAAAATTTAACTAGCTACAGAAAATAATTTTATTGGATTATCAAAATAATTATGTATACTTAAACGGGTTTCTAAAATATAAAAATTATTTATAGCATTGCTCATCATGTTTCATATATAATTAATTTAACGGTCCAACAAAATTATTTTCAGATCTGATTAAATTTTATATATTTCTGCAAAATTGTTCTTTTCGTACGACTTGTCATACGAAAAGAACAGTTTTATTGACATATTCAAAAATTTAGCTAGATATAGATCAGAAAATAAATTTTGTTAAATCATCAAAATAATTTTGTAGAATGTTCAAGCTGATTGCTAGAATGCCAAAATCTTTTACAGCATTGCTCATTATGTTTGAGTGTTTCATACAATATAATAGTTTTGACAGTCTAACAAAATTATTTTTAGATTCGTATTATCTAGCTAAATTTTTTGATGCTTCAGCAAAATCATTCTTTTCATATGGCTAAACAACAATTCGCTTAACAACAACTCGCGTTCATATATTAATATATTAATATGAAGGAAATTTCAAATTTTAATTTTCATACATATTTTATTGCTTCGATTCGTTAAACTCACCATTCTGTGAGGCACAGAGAGGCGATATATGTACATAGAAGTATATTTATATTATTTGATTTAACGGAGAGAATTATCTCGCGAAACCACGCTGATGTTTCACCACTTATTCTACTTCCGGGATTACGAATGTCGCGAAGAGGCGATAGAACCGGCGCGGACGCACGGTCCGATGCCGTCGGAGAAGACCCGCGGAGTTGCACGTCCGCACGACGCTTCCCGTTTTATCGATTTCCTCGATGAAGCTGCGCAGCCACGAGGAGCGCACGAAACGATACCGCGAACAATGCAGGACGATGGCCGAGGGGCGATTACAATAAGACTCTTGAGGTTTAACAGTTGTATAATAAGACGATAAGTTATTCTTTCGACGCGAGACAATAATCTTAGGGTTACGGCTCTCGCATACGCCGATCGCACGTACGTGCACCGTCTTGTACATATTGTATCTCTCGTTTTGTAATGATGAATAAAATATTAATTAAAATATTGACTCTGAATATGAATTCTTTGAATCTGCATCTGCAAATTAATTGCCTAACAATCATGAAAGGTTTTTAATTTTAAGATATTAAAATCTTTTAAAGATATTTCTAAACGAGCATGTAAAAAGTGAGAGCATTAAAAAGTGTTTAGTTTTGAAAAGTATCTTATTCAAAAACACATAAAGATGTTCAATTTTTAAAAGTACATTATTTGAAAACAAAGATATTTAGTTTTAAAAAATGTTTTAAACTGAAAACGTTTTATTTTAGATAATGTTTAGTTTCTATAAAAACAATTAATTTTATTTCATTAAATTTGCCAGTTTTGCGAGAAAATTTTCCAACGCGACATTTCTCATATTTCGATATACCAAAACTTATTAGCATCGTAAGTAATATCTTATGTTTCAAAATGCTTCACTGTAAATGTTTATTAAATATCAATTAAATGTTTTGTTTTTCAAGGCGAAAAAAGCAAAACTTTCAATTATCATAATGACATTTTTTTCGTTTACTTATAAGAAAAAAATTAATACTTTTTAATAATTTAAATAGTTACGTAGTTAAAACTTTTTTTTAATAATTAAATAGTTAAATCTAAACATTGTTTAGATTTAAAACATTAAAATTGTTTAAAGCTAAATCATCTTTTATTATTAAACGTTTATTTTGGAAAATATTATTTAAATGTAAGCATTTTAATACACTGCACTTTTTATAGTAAATCGATTATAATAAATAACATCAGCTTGTTACATAATTATATGATAAGTACACAAACATCTCACAAACTTTTTTATCGCTCTGTAAAGTATGATACCTTACATTTTTTAGGATACATGTTATGGAATTATCTGGAACAGATTTCGATTAGAATTTATTTCTAGATTTCTATATTATGTTTTCTAGGGAAAACGGAATAATTCCGATCGGAATTTATTCCAAATAGTTATCATAATATGTGCTCAAAATCCGAAATAATTTCCAGTAGTTCGATCTTAGCTTTGAATTTTATATTAATCTAATATAAATTGTCAAAGAGTATTACTGCGTTTATCTATCGTTTTATAAAGAAAATTTATTGTTAAATACATTTTATTGACATAGCTTATATACATTACGGGACACAATTCCCTTTTTACATATGTGCAATCTAAATTATCGACGACGACGAATCAAATTTATCAAAATTCAGTGGACTTTTACGCTGCTGCTGCTTGTTGTATTCTTTTTTCTCTTTCAAGAAGACGACGTTCTCTTTCATACTCTTTCATTCTTATGACGTAACTGTAACAGATACAATATTATTATTAATGTGTATCTTGAAAATTTATAATATGATACAGATATTCCAAACAATATGAGATACTTACTCTTCAACGTAGCACTCATTATATTGGTGTCTTTCATGCGCGCACTTCAACATGAAGGGATAATGACGTCTCTTACACTCATGTAATTCCATATACTTGTGGGCACAATAATCGCGTCTGTCATAAGGAATCTTGAAAGCCATCATATCTTCTTCTGACAATGGCACCTCTGTAAATTTGGCATACTAATTAGAATCTGGACGAAACACATGTCCTGATATCTAATTAAAATATAAAATTTGAATCATAAATGCTATTGCTAACCAGATATAACTCTTCAGTTAACAATAAATATAGAAAATTAAAACGTAACATATTCTAATTTTTTAAATATAATATTAATGATAAAACAATCAAATAAAATAACAAAATGTCGTATTAAAAATCAAAACAATTATTCACAAATTAATTGAAGATAATTACAGTCATATGAAAACATTTGAATTTTTAACTTACTTTTCATGGATAAATCATTCAAGAACATATATTCAAGTGAATTTCTTTCCGATAAGATATATTAATATTTTCATGCACTTTTCATATATCCAATAAGCAAAATGTTAGTAGCATAATTCACTAGTATATATATTTGAGAGCAGAATGTTATTACAGATCAATATTAATTGCATCTACATTAAATTTAACCAAGCCAGCAGAAACTACAGATATATAATCTAACAGTAAATCAGCAAGGAGGTTGTGTATTTTAAAGTGAGATGAAAATTACAAAAATTAATTAAATTCACTAGAATATTTATAATTTCATTTGTCAATACCTACCTAGTGAATTTGTTTATTTTTTATAATTTTCACTTCATTTCAAAATATGCAAAATGCTTTTTATTTAGTGGTACAAGTCAACGCAAATATCGTTCTATCTTTCACATTCAGAGAATAACAAAAATAGAAGGACACTTCTATCAACTTGTATTACCAAATAGAAAGTACTCACACAACTGATTCTCTGATCTCTGGAGATTGATTCAGTATCTTGAAACAAGATGAAAATTACAAAATGAGCAAATTTACTAAAATATTTATAATCTTATTGGTCAATGCCTAGAAGTTTGCTCATTTTTGTAATTTTTCCTTTATTTCAAGATACGGAATCAATCCTCTGATTCTTGATTTTATTTAATTTCTGCAGTCAATCTATTATTATATTCTACTAACAAATTCTATTATTTTTGCTGACATTCTACCAACAAAATTGCAAACATTTGGAAAATCTCTTTCAAATTTTGAGTATTTAAATATTTAATCATGGAGGTAAGATAGATGTTATGAAGTCCATTACAAAATAACACATAATGGCTAATAAAATTCAGTCCCATAAAAAAGTCATTCGGTCTCGATAAGAGGATCTATCAAAACCATAGGACAATTAACAATTAAATTCTGATTCCACGTCTAGACAATCGCAAATATATATTTATTTGATAATAAAATAATACACGATACAAAAAGAGGTTAAGTTCGAACATACCTCTGATTTTTCGACCATTAGGAAATCCATACATCGGATCGAACGTCGGTTTACCGTCGGACTTGGGCATTGTGTCGGGATGCGTTATGTAGGTAGCGATGTAATTACCCATTATTTAATTCAAGTTGTATTCAGCAAACAATCGAAAGAAAATTGTGCACCGTGTTGGATTGGACTGACATCTACTCATCTACTGATCTAACTTATGTAACGTATATAACGTATTGACATATATCGTACACAAAACCAAATTACATTGATTAATTTAAATAATTATTTACTTATATATGAATTATTAAATTATTTATTTGATGGATTGAAAATTTAGGAATTCCACATCTGAACAATTTTGTTAATAAAAACATTTGTAAAAAAAAACATTTTGTCAAAACTAAATAAATAAAAAGTTAAGAAATTTCTTACAAGCTGAACTTTACAAATGCAAATATATATTCATATATTTCATATTTATCCAATTTATTTAAAAAAATCAAAACTTTACGTTTTGATGCTCTACAAATTCATGTAAAATGAGTTTATATATAATTAGGGAGATTTAATAATAAGAATATCAATCGTTTGAAAATACTTTATTAATCTGAAATAAACATATTGATATATTAAAATAACGTTCAGTGTAATAATGAGGAATAGTTACGAAAATCGCTTCCAGGCTAATCTCCATATTTTATTTTTTACAAAAAAGTAATCTGTATTATTTCAAAGGAGTAGTAGATCTGTGTAGTATACAATTTTTTATCAGCATATGTGTACTATTATCACGGCCTACTCCGTCAAGCTGCATACTTACAATAGAAAATTTGTTTTTCAACTTCTATCATAATTTAATCATCATCCTCTTCCATAGGTTCTGCAGCTCCACTACCTGAAACATAATATGATATAAAATACAATATTGTATAATAGAATCTAAATTGTTTAATAATCTTTTTTCTAAGTCTGCATTTATGTGTATAATAATAATTGTCAGTATTTGTTGATAATTAACAATATTGACGATTAACAATATTATTGATTCTG